ATTTTCAAGTTTAATGAGGCCGAAATCCTCGCAAGAGGTGACAAGCTTGTGAGCCGCGAGCTACTTGAATAATGCCTCCCAGACTCACAGTCAATTAACAAGCGCAATGACTTGCCGTTCCCACATTCCGTGCTGAGACTTTGTTTGAGCAGCAGAATCAGTCACGTAGGAAGAGAGCGGTCCAGCAACAATGTCGATGACAGCGAACTTAATTGTCGCATAATTATCAAGCCAAGAGCCAACACGTATGATGAAATTGCGGCAAGTAATGACTCGGAAGCGGATTACCAAACTATCATGGCATTTACTACGACATCAGCCACCGATAATAGGAACTGCTAATTGTAGTGCGCGTGCGGTCGGTTGGCAGCCACTGACTATAAATCCTGTGTACTGTGTGCATTTATCATCCCATTCTGCGGTTACTCTAGTGCAGGGTTCAAGCCAGAATCCCTAGCGCGGACAAAATAAAACTCTTCTTCTAACGAACGTCTCTTCTACTTCTGAACTGCCTCCTGGGAATCCTCTGTTCACTTCTGTCAAAAATGGTTATAATAACTCACCATATCCAAGAAGCGGTGTACTTGACTGGCTGTGGTAGGGACTGGAAGAGTTTCAAGTAAAGAATCATATACAAGGGCAGTTTTTATCCCATCAGAGTCCACTACGTGACGGAGGGCGTCTAGCCTTGGAATTTCAAATTCAAACTTAACAGCATTTATTAAAAAACCGTAGGAGTCGAGTCGTCCGAATAGTTTTCTAAGATGAGCTGGGGTTTCAAGAAGAATTTCTGCAAAAACAATGGAGATTCCCAAAGTATTAGGCGACTTCCTTCGAACTTTCCCTTTAAGACTATGCCTGCATTTGAAATGATCGACAAGAAGACAGTGGCGGAGGCAACTGCATCTCTTAGTCACTTTATCAAGGGAAAAAGGTTTTTGACCACGAGTTCCCTATTCATATCCAAAAATTGCAAAAGAGTTCAACCTTAACAATAGTACATAATACACATGTAGGCTTAACATCAGCCATTGTGAGCCAGTTGCAAACTGCTGCTACTGACACTGTGTTCATTATACTTGTCACAGTTTCTCAGCAAAGGAGAATCCAGATTCCATTTAGAAGTGTCAACAGTATCTGAGAGGACCATCTCCTCAGGGAGTTCGCTCCACGCTCCGATGGCCCTCTGCGAGAAGGCGCTGCGTCGAACATCCATATGGTTCGGCTTCCTCTGTAGTTTCAAGGGATGACCCTGCAGATGATCCGTCCGAGCAAATTCGAAGAATTCATCTAACAACGCTGACAATTCTGTAGGTTTGGATGAGGTCATCGCGGAGTTGCCTGTAAGTGAGAGGAAATAAATCAAGTTAAATTAGGCAACCGCTTACATTTTTGCCGTTGGACTATACACAATTTACCGTGGGTAGAAGAGAGCTGCTGGCTCCGAATTATTCTAAAGGATAAATACTCCTTTCTTGTTGGCATTGAGTATCGCCCACCCAATGCTAGTGGGGACTAGGACATTTGTCCCTCGCAGGCATTTCACGCCGCAGCTGATTTAAATCTAAAGTACTGCTTGATTGCAGGTGACTTCAATCTTCGTAAAGTTTAATGGTTTCCACTCTCTGGTCCTTCAAAGTTTAAGAACTTAATTGAAGTCGTAGATATCGGCATACTGGATCAGGTAGTCGATTTTCCCATCCGAGGGTCAAGCGTACTTGAGCTCATTTTCTGTAGAAGCTGCGAACCATTGTCATTGCCACCTTTAGACACCCTTGGGAGTTCTGACTATCTCATGTTTATTACTACACTTGAACTAGAGGCGGACGAAATGTTTTTCAAAAATATGGTTGTTAAGGTCGCAAAAATTCCCATCACAGAAATCCGAAGAGCAATTAACGAGCATACGTATACTTTCAATAAATTCTCATCAGGCCATTACATTTATATGGGAGGGGGTTAAAGTGTAAAAGGTAAAATTATGTTCAAAGTTACAAGCAATATAGTCCAGGGGATAGGGGAGGGGGGTTGGGGTAGTAACAAACGGCTTAATAGGCGGCAATTAGGGAGAGGGGGGAAAAAGGGAAAGAGAGGAGGCTTGGAAGAGGCCGGTAGCTAGGTGGCCGTTG